CACACACACACACACACACACACACACACACACACACACACACACACTCACTCACCAACCACTGGATATAAATACAAAAGTCCTTGTCCTCAAAGAGCTTATATTCTAATAGACAGCAACAAGACAAAGGGGAGAAGTGGACAGAAATGGGGGATGGTAAGGAGAACAATAGGTAGAGGAAATGGTGGTAATGATCTGATTAAAATATTTAGGGTAAAAAGTAGAAAGATAGAGGGAGAAGTAAGGAGAATATGTATGGAGCAAGCCAATCAGATAACAGCTGGGGTAAACAAGCATGGTCTGAGTTCAAGGCTGACTGGAGTTCTGATGTCTTTCAAAGCTATTTTTATTTACATTATTTTAGTTATTTTGTAAGTTATCTTCCTGATTCTGCTCACTAACGTCTGCAATCCATTCATGATCCTTTCAAAATTTCATTATTTCTCACATTTATTTACAACAATATCTTTGGCTATTTCAGAATGGACGGGCAACTACTTTTAATCATTCAACCAACAAACATTTACATGCCAGGCATTGCGGTAAGCACTTCGCAGTATTTTGCTAACACAAAAGGTGCTACTAAAAACATTTTTGTACATGTGCGATGGGGACAGGTTATATAAGACACAGAGGTGGAACTAAGTACTAAAAACTTTAGGCAGGTCTGGCTGAAATATTAAGAATCATGCTTTAAGTAATGAGTTTTAGGAAAGTTTCCCTGAATACCTAAGGAAAAGAACAGCATGTTTACAATCAAAACTTTCATCTAAAGCCTTAGAGAAAGTTTAAACATCTTCCATTTTACTAACATTTCACAGAACAGACTTCCATCCCAAAGCATCTGTATAATCAGGACAGCTGAATTCATAATGGATTTCCTAATGGGATGCAAACTGACAGAAGGATATAAGAAAAGGAGGAAGATAAAACAACACATTAGGGTCTATTTTTATTACTCTTCCCTTCCCCAGCCCAACATTCTTAACATTTGTATTTTTTCCCAGCTTACCATGCCCTCAAAGCCAACTCTGTAAAGGTTCTTAGCACCATTGTCCCATAGAACATATGCTGCACTGTGTGGACTAGATGCACTCCAGTCCTGAATTTCAGTTACCTAATAGATTTTAAGGGAAAAAAAAAAACAGTAAGAGGGAAAACAAAGTTAGCTCTTTTAACAAAGTTTAGTTCTTTTGGCTAATAAAATCTCCTTTTGTTTTTTTTGGTTTTGTTTTGTTTTTGTTAGGCAATGGGGTTAAGTGACTTGCCCAGGCTCACACAGCTAGTAAGTGTCAAGTGTCTGGGGCCAAATCTGAACTCTGGTCCTCCTGACTCCAGGGCCAGTGCTCTATCTATTGCACCACCCAGCTGCCCCCTTAATCTCCTTCTGTTAATTGTCACCATCTTCTATTAATGATTCATTTTATTCCAACATCAATCCTAAAGTATCAAGGGACCAACTGGAGTAAGGCCTTTCCTATATCATCATTCAAAAAAAAAAAATGCATTATGTGGGCAGCTAGGTGGCTCAGTGGATAGAGCACCAGCCCTGAAGTCAGGAGGACCTGCATTCAAATCCAGCCTCAGACCAAATACTTGACATCTACTAGCTGTGTGACCCTGGGCAAGTCACTTAACCCCAATTGCCTAAAAAAAAAAAAGAAAAACACATTATGGCAGTCAATCAATCACTCAAGCATCTTTAAAGCCTTTACCTGGTCCCCCCAGCACTGAGCCAGGCCCTGGGGATACAAACAAAAATAAAAGACTCTGACCCCAAGGAGCTTAATTTTACTTAATTATGAGGATATCACATCTGCTCCACTATTTGATAACTGTCATAGACAAGTCTAGCTCCAGAAGGCAGAACCAGGAGCAATGGACAGAAATTTCAGAGACAGACTTTAGACTCGCTATAGAGGACATCATCCTAACAATTAGAGCTGACCCAAGAGCAACAGGATGCTTCAGGAAGTAGGATTCCCTTTCTTGGAGGTCTTCAGACAGAGAGGTTGGATGTCCACTTGTCAGTATATAACAGGAAGGATTATTTTCTGGTATGGGTTGATCAAATGGCTAGTTACTTCCAATTCTGAAATTCTATGAAGAATGCCACTTAAAAAAATAAAATACTATCTTCTCAAATTGTGATGCAAATTTTGATTTTAATCTTGGCAAATTATAATAGATTCACTTAAACTGAATCTATCCTGGTTTTAGACAACTTGAGCTGAGTACCCAAATGACAAGTTAAGCAGTATCAAACTGAACTCTTTCAGTTGATAAAATTGTCCTTGTCTTACCACTGATCCCCTTAGCTGCCACTATCTTCCCTTCTAAAGCTGTCTTGGATCTAATCTGTATGTATCCATTTATATACATGTCATCTGAAAGGTTATCACTCGGAAGAGGGATTAAACTTTTTCTGACTCCAAAGGCGAAAACAAGGAGGAACTAACAGAAGCTGCAAAGAAGCAAACTTAAGCTAGATATAAGAAAAACTTTAACAATTAAATCTATTCAAATGTAGAGTATATTGCCTTAGGAGACACCCCTCCACCCCCCCCACCAGACAAGTAGGCAGGATGACTAATAGTCTGGTGTGTTCTAGTGCAGATTCTTTTCAGGGATGGGTTAACTGCTTAGGTTACTTCCAACTCTGTGATTTATCCAAAGCACATGCATAAACAACTCCACTCAAAGTACTTAATGGTCCATCCCACATCAAAAAATTCACCACCTACTGATTAAGCCTCCAGGTAATAAGCCTCTACACTCACGCTGGATCTCAAACAGAAAATGTAATCTGCAACCATGCTGATAGTCAAAATTTTCCCTGCATGGTAGGACTTGCTGGTTTATTCTCTGTTGTTACATACAGCTTTTAAAAACTAAAAAGTCTCTGCAGCAGAACGAGGCAACAGAAAGTGACTTTTGATTCCTTTTTTTTTTTTTTAACAAAAGCTCCTTTCATTCTTATGCTTTCTAGTGTTTTTAACTGGAATGCATGTTTTATTTTGTCAAAAGATGTTTCTGAATCTATTGATATAATCATATGATTTTTGTTGTTTTTGTTATTGATATGGTTAATTATGCTTACAGTTTTCCTAATAATGAAGCAGCCCTACATTCCTGGCAAAAATCCAAGCTGGTCATAGTGTATGATCTTTGTGATATGCTGTTGTGATCTCCTTGCCAGTGTTTTATTTAGAATTTTTTGCATAGATATTCATTAGCGAAATTGGTCTATAGTTTTCTCACTTTGTTCTTGCTCTCTGGTTTAGGTATCAAAACTGTATTTGTGTCATAAAAGGAATTTGGTAGGACTCTATTTTTCAGTTTACATTGTATTAGAATTAAATGTTTGGTAGAATTCATCTGTAAATTCCTCTGGTTTTGGGAATTTTTCTTAGCAAGCTCATTTATGGTTTGTTCGATTTCTTTTTTCCCAAGATAGAGTTATTTAAATATTCTATTTCCTCTTCTAATAATATGGGCAACTTAAATTTTTTTAACTATCCATCCATTTCATTTAGATTGTCAGTTTTATTGGCATAAAGTTACTAATAATTGCTTTAATTTCATCTTCCTTGTGCATTCATTCTTTTCATTTCTGTTACTGGTAATTTGGTTTTTTTAAAGCACTGTTTATCTATTTTACTGGGTTTTTTCATAAAATCAACTCCTAGTTTCATTTATTAGTTCAATGTTTGTTTTTTAAAACTTCCTATTTTATCAATCTCTCCTTTCATTTTCAGGATTTCTATTTTAGTGTTTAGTTGGGAGATTCTTGATTTGTTGTTTTTCTAGTTTTTTTAGTTTTTTAATTCCATGCCAAGAAAGGTTTTTATATTTTTAAATAAAGTTTTATTGTATTTTAAAATACAAAAACCATTCAGGCAAGGAGCAGATCAACTTCCTAGAGCGTGAAGAACCTCCCAAGAGAGGACAGAACCAAGTCGGGTATTACAGCAGAAGTCCTGGGCTTTCCCAAAACAATTTTGTGTAAGGTTGCATATACTGCTTTTTGTAAAGACTTTTCCTTCTAGAAAAAAGAGTTATCACAGTTTTAGGACCTCTATCATCTATTCAACTCTCAAATTGTCTCATCATAGCAAGGTAGTGATCCGGGGTTCTCCAAAGTTAATTTAGTGGAGGACAAATTCTGGCCAATCTTCTCAAGCAAATGCCCTTGAATATGGATGTGATAACAAAAAGTTATGTCTACTACCCAAGATCAACCTTGCTAATATTTGGAAAGGCTCATCACCAAAAAGATGACCATTAAGTGATTTTTTTCATCCAAAGCAACTCACAAAGACTGTTTAATCTTAAGTACAGAAAGGCAAAAATCTCTACTAGTGAGGGGAATATCCTTAACCAATGAAATAAAAGATCCCTTAAGAGCTGAAATAACAAAACAATAACAAAGTATTCATTTTTAAAAAGACTCCCTTACCTTCCCTCTTCTTCCATTTCCACCATCTTGATCTTCCCATTGCCAATCTACTCCTCGAACCACTCTGGCACCTGCAAAGATTCCTCTGGCTGTAATTTTTTTTGATTTCCGACGAGATTCTAAAAGTACCCTAAAGATAAAAATATATATATTGATATGCTTGATTCAGTAAGAAGAGATCTAATTGGTTCACAAGTCATTTAAAATTTAAGGATAACAAGAACATATATATATATATATATATATATATATATATATATATATATATGTATATGATCTCAAAGTTTCCCCTCCCTGGATTTTTTTTTTTTTGCCAACATAGAATGAGGAAGAATAGCATAACAGCATCTTTTATCACCAAGAAGTACTCTGTAATTCCAGAGTGAATTGCTAATCCAAAACCACTCAAAAATTAAAACTGTAGTCATGCAGCTAGGTGGCACAGTGAACAGAGCACTGGCTCTGGAGTCAGGAAGACCTGAGTTCAAATATGACTTCCGACACTTACTCGCTATGTCACCATCACCAAGTCACTTAACCTTGATTACCTCCCCACCCCTCAAAATCAAACTATAGCCAAACCAGTTAAGTTTTTTGGCTAAATTTTTTCCTCAACACATACTCCAAAAAATATTTTCATACCAACACATAGGAAGATTTCATAGGGAGCCAGTCAAAGTCATAACTAGGTAGACCAGTAATGAAAAACCAGTAAGGTTTTGTCCCAGGGCTGTAAATTTAAAGAGTTAGCACTTGTATTCTTATAAGGATAAAGTCTGGTAGAAGAGCAGGAGTTGAGTTCTGGAAGGGCCAGGGAGCCAGTGACAGGATGATGAAAATAGGAACAGGCATGGGAGTAGGCCTCTGCTAGGGACCTAGTAGTTATCTGCAATGGCAGTCTCTCAGCACCACTGGCTCTGACATATTTCAGGCAGGGCAGGGCATGTCATGAGACTAGAGCCTATGCTCTGCAATGGCTGGGAAACAAAAAGGGGCGGGGGGAGGTGAGAGGGAGGAGGGTAAAAGGGAGGTTGTACAAAATGGTTTCCACAGGTCCCTTTCAGGTCTAAAGGTAAGTGATAGGAGATTTGGACTCCCATTTGACTCTACCTCAGCTCAATCTCAATTTCATTAAAAATTGAATGAGCCTTCCTCTCTGATCTTAGTTTCCTCCATTATAAAGCAAAGGCAATGAACCAATGACCTCTTAAGGTCCCTTGCAGATCTAACACAGTAATTTGAGGGTTCAGAAGGTATTGGCACCAAGTCCTCTTTCAGCCCCTCTCTCCAAAAGAAACCATCTGCTTGTTTTCAGTTTTTTTCCCCTCAATTCCTATCCTTCAGTAAACAGGTTTCTAGAATGCCAAATGTGAAATAACTGATCTTAGAACCTAGTTATCAAAAATAATTAGTTAAAATAGTAAGCTATAAACTGGCTGACTTCCTGAGGCTCTACGTAGAGGTACAACCTTCTCAGCAGCAGTTCCTGGGGATTCTATGTCCTTTCTATGGCAGGGTCCATTCCCACATAACCAAGGGTACCTTTTCTTGATGTTTGTCCCACACATAATTTAAGGTGTTTCTCCCCCAACTCCTCCCCAGGAAAAATTCCTGGTTACTTCTCTAGTAAGGGACAGAGAACATCTGTTCAGGAAAAAAAAGAAAAATATGTCCTCTTCTAAAAAAACTATTCTTTATGATTACTGATAATGTCAATGTATGAAAATCTAAATTAACATTTAAAAAAAAGATAAGATGAGATTCACATCTCAAAGAAGGATTTAATTTTTTTTTAATTCCCTTTCAAAAGGAATTATAGGATTTCCTTCAGTGGCAAGTAGTTCAATACAGTAAAAGGATTTAATTCAGCAATGTTCCGATTAGATACCACTTTCCAGGAATGGCACACTACTGCATACAGTGAGGTAGATCAGTAATGAGAAACTAATAATTCTCTAAACTGCATCCCTCCTTCAATTCAATTTCACATAACTGTAACTTCCACCCACCAAATAGAACATTTTCCCTGAATGTATCCTTGCATCTGTGATTTCATCAATGCAAGTGTTCCTTCCACAGATGGTGATTCCAATCCACTTACACCTCCTTAACGAATGTTACTCTTTTCCAGAGTTTGGTACAGAAACACATCAAATTTAACAGAGAAACAGGCAAGAAGAATAGGAAGAGATTAGATTTAAGAGGGAAGATAAAACTGGTAAGGAAAAGATGCAAGCAAAAACAACTTAAGCTTTGAAAAGTGGACCCTAAATGAAGGATTTCGAGAGGGAAAAAAAAAGAGAAAACCAAAGAACTAGAACTAAGGAGGTACCCATCAATGGGGACGGCTGAACAAATTAACTTACGATTGTAATGGAATATTATTGAATCATAAGAAATTAAACAACTTCAAAAAAATTTAGGCAAGTATATGAACCAAATGGAATGAGAAAAACCAGGAAAACATTTTATGCAATAACATTTTACAGAAAAACAACTTTGAAAGATTTAAGATCAAAAATCGGTCTTAGAAAAGAGAGAGAGCTATGATAATGGCAAACAGAGAAAAAGAAAAAAGGATAACAAACACTTTTAAAGGCACAGAAGAGAAGGAAGTTCACAAGGAAGCACAGACAAGAACTTTAAAAGGGATATGTTAGTTATATACCTTTCTAAAAAAAATTTTTTTTATCCTGAACTTGAGAAATAAAACAAGCACTTCCATAACAAAGTAAATGGAAACAAAGAGGGATTGCACAAGAAACTGCAAATCTATTATGCACAACTCGCTTTTCCTTTTAAATATATATTATCATGTAACTTTGTTTTTTATTTCTTTCCCTCCCTTCCCTCTGCCTCGCCCTAGAGACAGCTACCATTAGACATAAGTGTGTGTGTGTACACACACATGTAAAACCATACTATACATACTTCTATTTATCAGTTCTTTCTCTGGATGCAGATGGCATCTTCCTTCATAGGTCCTTTGAAGTTAATTCAGGTATTTAATAATACTCAAAATGACCTGGTTGCTCAAAGTTGTTCTTAAAACAATATTGCTATTACTATATACAATGTCCTCTTGGTTCTGCTGGTTTTACTCCTCATTATTTTGTGTTCTAAAATTATCGAGTTCATCATTTGTTTTTGTTTTTGTTTTTTAAGGCAATTGGGGTTAAGTGACTTGCCCAGGGTCACACAGCTAGTAAGCGTCAAGTGTTTGGTCTTAGGCCGAATTTGAACTCAGGTCCTCCTGACTTCAGGGTTGGTGCTCTATCCACTGCGCCACCTAGCTGCCCCCATCATTTCTTATAGCACTTCTTTCACAGTTATTCCATCAAAATTATACACCACAACTTGTTCAGCCATTCTCCCACTGACAAGCATCCCTACAATTTCTAGTTCTTTGACACCACAAAGAGAGTTGCTCTAAATATTTTAGAACATATAGGTTCTTTTCCTTTTTCCCTAATCATCTTGGGAAATAAACCTTATAGTGGCATTGCTGGGTCAAAGGGTATAAGCAGTTTTATAACTTTTTGCACATAATTCCAGATTGTTCTCCAAAATGGTTGGATTCACAGTTCCACCAGTGAATTAGTGTCCTATTTTTTTTCCACATCACTTCCAACCCTTGTCATTTTCCACTTCTAGCATTTTATCCAATTTGATGGGTATAGAATGATATCTCAAGGTTGTTCTAATTTGCATTTCTCTAATCAATGATTTACAGCATTTTCCATATGGCTATATAAATTGTTTTGATTTCTTCATTGGAAAACTGCCTGTTCATATACTATTTACCAACTGAGGAATGACTTATATTCTTATAGATTTGACAAAGTTCTTTATATAGTTGAGATGAGACCTTTACCTGAGAAACTGTATATAAAAATTCTTCCAATTGTCTGTTTTCCTTCTGATACATTAGATTACATTGGATACATTAGTTTTCTCTATTATTTGACTTCTGAAGTCCTTTTTAAATTCTTCCAACAGTTCTTTTTGGACTTGTGACCATTTGAAGTTTCTCTTTGAAAAATGAGTGGCTTTTTTTACTTCACTATCTTCCTCTGAATATGAACCCAGGTTTTCTCTATCCCTACAGTAGCTATCTATGGTCAGGTTCTTTTCTCCTATGCTTATTCATTTTTATTATTATTTTGTTTTATTTTATTTTTAGCAGCTTTATCTCAGGTTCTGGTCCCGAAGTGTGGGTAATGGTGCCCCAGGTTTCAGATCCTTCTTACTATTATTTTCTGAACTCTGTGTATGGGTAGGGTGTGAGTGGGGTGGTGAGTAACAATCTCAGGCACTCCTCTCTACCCCTAAGACAAAGCAAGGGCCTCTGGCCATGCTGTCCTGCAAATTCTCTTGCTCTCTGTGGTCCTTCCAGCAGCTGGAAATTTCAGCTCTCCCCTCTGCCTTGGAACTGAAACCAGGGACTCGACTCTCCTGCAAACGCACACAGCCAGCAGGGTCCCTGCCCCTCTATCCCTCTGTTACTATACTCACTGGGTATGTGATAGCTCCTTCTTACCTGCAGCCCAGGACTGCATCTGGTAGGACAGCTGTGCCTGGCATCTGGAGGCAGCAGGGGGTCTTTCAATCTTCCCCTACTTGGCCACCAGACCCCCACACTGTCCTGGTGAGGTGAAAGTTCCTGAAGCCCAGGCTGCTTCCAGACCCAGCTGCCCCCAGGGCTTGCTGCCTGTTGATTTAACAGAGTGGGCCTGGAGGTGTTTTTATTTCACTAGGGCCAAACTTTCACCCATGGAGATCTGAGTCTTTGCTGAGGTCCTCTCAAGTTGTCTTAGGAGGGCAACTACTTTACCCCGACTTTGTGTTTATTTTTGCCACTTTACATTCACTTTAAGATGATGTTCTGTCTTGTTTGTGGAGGAAATCTGGGAACCTAGAATTTTCTGTCCTACTCTGCCATCTTAAAAAGATCTCCCTAGGTAACATTAGGCCAAATCTAATAAGAAGAAATATGACATGGAAAATGTAATCATATATTTGGGTTAAAATTTGAAATTCACAAGTACAAGATGGGGCTGCCATGGCTAGACAGATATACTTCAGCAAAAGATCTAGGAGATAAAAGGATCAGCAAATTTAATACAAGTAAACAATGTGACAAGGCAGCCAAAAGCTTACACAAATTTAGCTTTGATTAAAAAAAGATTACAGTGTTCGAGACTATAGAGAACAAAAAAAGTCCTAATTCTTTCTTTGTTTTATTGAGTTGTTTTCCAGTCAGGTCCAATTCTTCAAGAACCCATCTGGGTTTTCTTGGCAAAATACTGAAGTGGTTTGCCATTTCCTTCTTCACATCATTTTACAGAAGAGGAACAAAGGCAAACAGGATTAAGTGACTTGCCCAAGGTCACACTGCTAGTAAGTATCTCAGACCACATTTGAACTCAAGAAGATGAGTCTTCCTGATTCCAGGCCTGTCGCTCTTTCCACTGTGCACCTAGCTGCCTTCCTTAGAGCTGTCCAAATATGGAATGGCCTGTTTTGGTAAAGGTAGATTCTCTCTCACTTATTAGCAAAGGTTGGATGACCATTTGTCAGATATGTTAGAAAATGGATTCTCATTTCAGGTATCATTTAGACCTAGATGACTTCTAAGGTTCCCTTTAACTTTGAGATTCAGAAATTTTCTCTTTCCTACTTCTGTCAACCCTGTCCAAAATTATGCTAGAAATTGTTATTAACAGTAAAATAACAGCTCATGATTTTTCTAATTTCATTTATAAGACTGAATCCATTTTCAATATATAAGGAACTTACATGTGTAAAATTAAGATTTATTTCCTACCTTTCACTTCCTGGTGTGGTAATTCTGTAAAAACGATGCCTTAAGTGATGTTTGTCCCCATGATAACAGACTGTGCACAAATCATAATTTGTACACTCAGCACACTTCCATCGGATACCAATGATTGGCTGTTGGCGACAGGTATCACACATGGTTCCATCATGTTTGATGCCTATTTTAAAAAGAACACATACTTACATTTTTCAAAGTTTTATAATATATTTTGATTACTTGACAAAAGCTACTGAAAATAAGTAAAACAAAACATATTTAAAGAATTTTTAACAAATTATATGGGGAAATAAGAGTATTTAGTCTCCTTAAAGCTTAAAGATAAAAGGTTAATAATAGACTTCCATTATTTTAATTAATACAAACCACAATGTTGTTTTCCTTCTCAACTCACTGATTAAAAGAAGATGCTACTGTTCATCACTTTTTTCCTTATATACATAAAATTGACCTCAGGTGGCAGTTTCATTTAGAGGAATAAGGAAGACAAAAAAATACTTAAACAAACCACAATTTTCAGTTATTTCAACATTTGAATACTTGAAACCTCTCTTGTAATTTCAACTGGTGCTCAACTATGATAAGTGACAAATCAAAGCACAGAGAATTTTATCTTGGCTACAGAAACCAAGATGCATAGTATTCTTCCCAGGTTTAACTGTTTTCTCCAAAGAATAGAAAAAAAAAATTGTAGTCCATTCAAGTGACAGTAAGAGTGAGAAAGAAAAATTCCTTTCAAAATAATTATAAAATGTATAATAAAATACTTGGGAGTCTACCTGCTAAGACACACACACATAAATTATATGACTATAACTACAAAACACTTTACAGAAATAAAAACAGAGCTAAGCAAATGGAAAAATGTTAATTTTATTAAATTTCAAATAGAAGTAGATCCCTGAAGCCACATATTGATTTGGAAAAACCATAAATTACCATTATCTATGTTACATTGTATTTTTATTTAGTTAAAAATTTCCTAATTACATTTTAATCTGGTCATCCCCTGCCTACAATATATACCAGTATGACATCTCTGATCAAAACAATTTGGCACTGGTGAAAAAAAATGAGAGGGTCAATCAGTGGAACAGATTAGGTAAACAATATACAGATGCAAATGAACACAATAACATAGTGGTCAAGGATCCCAGTTACTGAGCTGACAACTCTGTATTTGACAAAAATGACTGTGAAAACTGGAAAGAAGTCTGGTAGAAAGTAGTTATAGAGCAACATTTTGCATGGTATACCAAATTTAACTCCAAATGGATACATGACAAACATATAGTGACATCACAAACAAATCTGAGGAGCAAGGAAGAAATTACCTTTCAGATCTATGGATAAGGGAAAAGTTCATGACCAAGCAAGAGATAGAAAGGATCACATAAGATAAAAAGGGGCAATTTTTGTTCCATAAAATTAAAAAAGTTTTCTCACAAACAAAACCAATGCAATTAAAATTAGCAGGGAAGCTATTAACTGGAGGAAAAAAATCTGAGCAGCAAATTTCTCTAATAAGAACTCAATAGAAAAACGGCCAAAGGATATCAACAGGCAGTTTTGAAAGGAAGAAATCCAAGCTATCAATAACTGCATTGAAAAATCTCCAAATCATTAGTAATTAAAGTTGACAAAGTTGGCAAAAAGGGAAAATGACAAATGCTGGAGAGGCTTGAGAAAAGAGGTATTATGTATTATTGGTATACCTATGAATGGATTTAGTCATTCTAAAAAGCAATTTTAACTTGCCCCACCTCCCCTCTACCCAGTCACTAAACTATGCATAATACCCTTTGATCCAATGATACTATGGAGGTCTATACCCCAAGAGAGATCACAGAAAGAAGAAAAGGATCCATGAGAACTGATGCACAGATAGAGTGAAAAGAACCAGAGAACAATGTATAACATTATAAAGAAAAACAACTTTGAAAGCTATGACAACTCTGATCAATGCAATGACTAACCATGATTCCAGAGGGCTGATGATGAAAGCATGATACTCATTTTGATGAACTCGAGATTAGGAGTAAGACTTATGTTTTTTTACACAGCCAAAGTAGGAATTTGTTTTGTTTAATTATGCAATGTTTCAAGGGCTTTCTTATTATTTTTTTTTTTAACAGAACAAGGTGGGCTAACAGGAAGAGGGGAAAGAAAAGGCAAAAGAGGGGAAGGAAAGGAGAGGGAAAGGTTATTTAGGCCTTTTTTTTTTTATTCATAAAAGAGAATAGAAAGAAGATCAGAAAGAAGAACTGACAAGTAGGGGAGCTTTTTAAGCCATAGGTTAATTTATCATAGTTTTTTTTTTTTAAAAAGCAAAATATACATAAGAGATCTACAGTTTGTGTGTTTAATATAAAAATAAATATAAATATTTTTTAAAGTACAAACACTTGTACAACTCTTTAAGGTTTATAGAGCCTTTTCCTCAAAACAATTCCTGTGCTACCCTAAACAGGCACCAGCCTCATTCTGGATCAGTTTAAAAAGTAACATACATCAATTTAAAAATATTCACTGCTCTGCAATCTCTTCTGTGACATTCATCTTACTTCTTATCACAGAAAAAGCACTAGACTTGGTGGTAGAATATAAGCCTTTTATTTCTACCTCTGCCACTTACTGTGGCTACTACCTTAGGAAGATGGGATGACCTCTCTGTGCCTCAGTTCTTTTTCAATTGTTGGTTGTCATTTTTCAGTCATGTCCAACTCTTCATAACCCCATTTGGGGTTTTCTTGGCAAAGATACTGAAGTGGTTTGTCATTTCCTTCTCCAGCTTATTTTATAGATGAGGAAACTGAGACAAACAGGGTTAAGTGACTTGCCCAGGGTCACACACTTTGAACTCAGGAAGAGAAGTCTTCCTCATTCCAAGCCCAGTGTTCTATGGCACTGTGCTGACTAAGCTTACTCATATATAAATTAGGTACTGTACCCTACCTCAAATCACCATATAACATTAAGTTGAAGAACTGTATACAATCCTTCCATTTACACGTGTAAAGTAGTATTACTATTATCATGCCAAAACTTGGAAATTTTTAAACCTAGTCTTAAGACTCTCTTTGTATGGAGCATGAAAACTAAAATTTAAGTGACTTGATAGCAGCTGTGCCATTATAAAGCATCAAATCCTAAATTGACTGTGCCTGCCTCTGAGCTTGCCAGTTGACAGGTGAAAAGCATAAGAAAGTAAAACTCAAAAATCATTTATTCAAAAACCTTCATCCAAAAACGTTTTCCACAAATCTCTATTTAAGTATTTTGGTCTCCACACTTTATTCTTCTAGTTCAAACTGAAAGGATGGTAAAATTCATGAATTCAAATAAATGCCCAAACTTCCTTTAAAAACAGCTATTTAAAAAAACACAAAGACAACCGGTAAAATCTTCCATAACTCATGGTTTCAAAGTATAATTCAGGAAAGCAATAGATATACACAATCACATTCAAACCCAATTTTGCTCCCACAACTCAAATGTCAACAAAGCTACTCAACAGCTGTGAAACTGACTAATGCTGACTATTTGAAAGAGTAAACAAAACAACCCATTCAGCTACCAAAATCAACACTACAGAATATAAAACAAAAATACAATTAATTAGCTCTAAAAGAAAATCTGCCTACTTGATGGCATCATAAAACACAATATTAGGGAAATAACGGGTTTAAATATTTTTACTTTTTCCCCCTTTACCCCTTATCACACACATCAATTTCATTCCCATTTACTGTCTTCAGTCCCACTCTGATCCCCTGTGACCCTGCAAAAACTGTTCCCTACAAATTTTACATTTCATACCAGCTGACTGCATCCCTTCCCTTTGACCCAAGTTTATCAGCTCTCCTCATTTCCAAAGCTTCCTATAAATTCTATGATCCCTGGAGGATCTTTGTGCTCTTTCTTTTGCTCAATTTTATGACCACATCTGCCATCTACTTTTCATTGATAAATGAACCACCTATGACAACAGCTTTTGACTCATTCTATTACTACTCAAATCACCATCTGTCCCATGTTTTTAATTTTATCCCAAGCTAAACAATAATTTAAAGAATCTATATAATTGAAGGTCTGAGTGAAAATTTCACAATAGATTAGTAATACATGCTAGTGAGATAAGCAATAAGTTCATAAATAAAATAAATTCAATATATAAAATAATAGTTAATAAATTTCTTCAATAAAGAAAGAAAAAAATTTAAAGTAAAAAGGTAGATCTCAGATCATTAGAAAAAAGAATCAGATTTCTGCCTCCATGAACTAGAGAACTGTATAATATTGTTATCTAACCTTTCGGTGATCTCCATGGATGTCACCATCTTGAAACTTATTAACTTTGACAACTGATCCTAGGTAAAGATTTAATCATTAAAAGGACTTATTTGTGTACTCTTTCTTAACTAAGGTGGTTTTTTTTTTAATTCTGTGTGCACTACTGTAACTGTTTTTAAGATAGTTTCAAAGTTAATTAAATTTTTTAGTAAGGGCAAGGCCTTTGTGACCTGCCAGCTGATTAATACATTCCACATTCATTACTCTTGAGACTTTCAAAAATATATGGTGAACATCAAGACTTTTCCTTAGCTCAGATCAAATATGGTTGCCAGTTATGTGTTAGAGGAATTTCATGCTAACTATTCTGGTCCTCTCAAATCTACACATTTATAAATTGTATCAAAAATTAAATTCTCCATATAAAAAGGAGATGTGAAGGGTTATGTTTTGTTGTTCTGTTGTTTTTTTTTTTTTTAAAGAACATTTCAGGGGAGAGAAATAGAGATAAAATAAACATTCTTTTGAGATAATGTTAATACTCCAGACTTTTAAAATTGTTTCAAACTGCCTATCTTTACAGTACTCTGCCTCACCCCTAAATCTCTTATTTATGCCTAGATTTATCGGCCAAGTCACCCTGCTCTCTTATTCCATTACCTTTTTTCTGGCTTCACTTCTTTCACTTTGCAATCTTATTTTTACAGTTAATGAACTCATCTATACACTGTTCTCTCTCCTCAAATCTCTTTCTGTAATTACACAAGCAAGAAATTGTTTGACAGCTAAGGCAGACATTGCCAAGCATAAGTAGTTTAGTCAGGGGTAAAGTAAGTACAGCTTTCAGCAGAAGGGCTTAATACACAC